GAACCGATTAATGTTAGATCCCTATTGAAAACCTGGAAGCACTAGACGGCCATCTCGTCCTATTGTGGGACTCTTCAGCAGTACGCATCCACGATTCCGCTTGCGGGATTTGAACCTGGGGCATTCAGTCACGCTCGAGAACACTTAACCCACTGGGCTACTGAGCCTGGATCCAGTGGTGTTAGTGTCTAACCTCAACCAATTCACGAAACTATGCAACCATCTTCTATTATACTGAGGTAGATACCTTTCTCTACTCGACATGGATTAGCTTAACTGTTCACAGCTTCCCACTAGAACTCCGAGTTGAATTGATGAGTAAACTGAAGCTAGACAATCACGGAAAACCTTGAAACACTGGACGGCCGTTTCGACTTAGTATGGAACACATCGGCAGTGTGGATTCTAGGGAGAAGCTGTGATCAGTGTAGTTCAACCGAGTCTGTTGTGAGATAGTAACTCACTGATGACAATGGTGGACGGTGGTGCGATTTTGTGAACTGGTTGAAGTTAAACAGTAACACCGTCCGATGCCAGCTGACCCAGTGGTCTAAAAGTTAAGCGTTTGCACGTGATACCGATACGTCATGGGTTCGAATCTCACGAGGCGGGACCGTGGACACACACTGTTGAGGAGTCTCATTCTAGGACGAGACGGTTGTCCAGTGCTTCCAAATATCCTATGGTCGTCCAACTTCAATTGACTCATGAATCCAACTATTGAAATCACTATCATATCCACAAAACCCCTCTCTCATGGTAACTCTATGTTTGACTATCCGCAGAGTTATGAGTGAACATTGGTTAAGAGTTCCAAAGTACAACGAGGTAATTGTCTATTATCTCTTGGTTTTCAATATATGTTGAACTGTGGTAAATTCTTAATGTCCACCATGAAATTCAACAATCTTCACTAACCCATAAACTGATAGATTTTAGTCTGAGTTTTTTCTAGTTTGCCGGATTTTTAGTCATGAAAAATGTATGTTTATTATTATCATTATTATAATTCTTATTGTTGTCATTGTTATTATCATTACAACTTAATGTTAAGATTTTAAACTGGAATGATAATTTTGACAATAATTTTAGAAAAGCTATTGTCTAATATTATCTAAATGGTTCTATCTTTTACAAGTAGTTTAAATGTAAGTATTTCTGTCTAAACTAAACTACTCCATGTAACATGGCTCAGAATCAACCCTGATAGTGTAGGTGTATACATTCTCTATCTTTCCTTAAACTGTGAGATGAAAATTGCTTTATGCCTTTCTTTCTACGAACTAATTCTTTTTTCCTGTATTATATTCTTATACACAATTTTTCTTTTATATATTACTACCGTTGAATTAACTACTATGAATTTGTTATTCATCTTGTTGTGTTAATGAGGTTTGGCAACAGTAGATTGTTGCTGATACTGTCTGGCCAATGGATCCGAAGTACTTCACGTAGATAACTGTTAATAAACACTTGTATCTTCTGGATGATGGTTTTCGTAAATCTCCAAGTTTCCACCCCTTTCAGTAGAACTGTCTTGACATTTGTATTGAAAATTCTGACTTTGGTATTGGTTAACAGTTGTTTTGCGTTCTAGATAGTCTTCAGTTTTAGATATGCTGCTCTTGCTTTGTTAATCTGCGCCTTCACAACTGCATCAGATCCCCCGTAATCATCAGTGATGCTGCCTAGATAGGTAAAGGTGACTTAGTAGTTCAGTGGTAGTGCAAGATACTAGGTTCGACTCTCTGTGAATAAACAACAACAGTGAGTTTCATATAAATTGAGCGGATGAATACCAAATAGAACGAAGTACTTACCCTGAATTTTTCTACTAAACACTATCTAATATTATGAAATAACATTTATTTTAATCCTTAAAACTTACTATGTTTCAATAATTTTTCGTTAATAATAATTTATACTAACTCCAAACTAGAAGTATGTAGCTAATGTACAGAGGTATTAAAAAAACATTTATCACTTTGATACGAACTCAATACATCATAGAATGTTACTCGTTTAACGTCTTGTTTCTACAGAGCGTGTGAAATTTCAAATATATTCTTTTACACCCTATTTTCCGAGAGTCTGTAAATGGATATCTTAAAATTATGTTTCTGTATTACTGAAATCTTAGGTATCAGTTAAATATATGCCTTTCTTTGATAAAAAAACAATCATTTTCCCTATGTAATTCCAGTGTTTTTAGTTAACATGACGAACTGTCTTTAGCTTCCTAGAACTTACTAGTTTTCAATGGTTGCTTAACTATGGTCACTTCATGTTGTAAATTAAAGAAAATTCGACAATCTATACAAATTTAAAATAATAAGTCCCTTAGATAAACGTGGATAATACAATTAGAAGGAGTAGGTTATCAGACATATAAAACATATTTGTACAATACATTTCGAACAGTTTGATGCCACATATTCTGTTTAAGGCATTTTTCATAGCTTCAACTGACTCATGATTTCAAACTGTGAAATTTCTAAAATTCTCCACAAAACCCATTCTGATAATAATAATAATCAACTGCTCACTAGTGACTGACTTCAGGAAAAACTCCTGAAGTTCTAATGAGAAGCCGTTACCAGTGGAGTTCAACCGGTCTGTTGTGAGATAACAACTCACTGAAGACAATGGTGTACGGTGGCGCAACTTCGTGGATTGGTTGAAGTTAGACATTAACACCGTTGGATGCCGGCTCAGTGGTCTAGTGGTTAAGTGCTCGCGCGCGAAGCCAGTAGGTCCTGGGTTCGAGTCCCGCGTGGTGCGGGATCGTGGATGCGCACTGCTGAGGAGTCCCATACCAGGACGAAACGGCCGTCCAGTGCTTCCAGGTTTTCAATGGTGGTCTAGCTTCAACTGACTCATGATTTCAAACTGTGAAAACAAAAAAAGTCAATAGTTAGGCGTTAAGTTCTTTTTACATCAATGTGAAGTACAAACAATCTTATGCGGTTTACCATTATTGTTATTTTCACAATAGAAACAAATTAATCGCTGAGCTGTTAATTTTTTTTGCATTTTATACTTTTACCTAATATCTGTCAATCTATGAAGCAAGTAGTTATGTTGCCATGGGGAATATTTTTTTGTATTTCTATCCAACTAATACCTTTCTATATCATTTTCTACCAAACGGTTGATAACTAGTCTAATTACAGCTTTTTGGATAATATATATGCTACAATAATAATGATATGAATTTTGAATTAGATTTTTGTTTGATTAGTATTGGATAATGGAAAGCATTGTAGTCTCGGACGCTCGTTTCATCCTATTCGACATTTTTCAGAGTGAAGTACCCAGATATTAGTGATGGTCAAACCGGAACTCAAACCCAATATCTTGTGAATATCTCACAATAGTGAGGTAATCCATTAGGAGCTCGTATATATCAAAAATTAGTGATTGGCTGCAATCCTTGTTGTCGATAAGTAGAAGTCAGGTTTTAATGTTTAAAATATTTGAAAGCAATTCTTTGAACATTTATACATTTAGGCTTTCATAATATTTGCTATCATTTATAAGTAGTATATATACTGAATTCATTATTTGACTTTAAAACAAAAAGAACATTACAGTTAACGTAATATTCTATACACATAATAGTTGTTCTTTAAACAATAAATGTCCAAGACATATTTTTCAAAGACTGTATTGTGTATTCATTATCCAGGATAAAAATATGGCATAACCTAAGTTGTTAAAATTTTCTTTCATTCGTTTATAAAGTACACTTTGATTTGTCGATGATTTCCAGTTATAAAAATCTTTAATTGATGTAAACTCTGTGAGTTTCTAACGGTTACTAAGTAATTCATTTTGTTAAGTTTGGAGTTTCAAATAATTATCCTTTTATCTTGTTATATCTTTGATATTTAGAATTTTTACTTGTTGAAATCACGAGTCAATTGAAGCTAGACCACCATGGAAAACCTGGAAGCACTGGATGGCCGTTTCCATGGTGGTCTAGCTTCAACTGACTCATGATTTTAACCACTGAAATTACTATAATATCCGCAAAACCCATCTGATATTAATTCGAACTATGCTCACTAGTGACTAGCTCCAAGAGGTATATCCTAGAGTTCTAGTGAGAAGCCATGACCAGTGGAGTTCAACCAGATCTGTTGTGAGATAATAACTCGCTGAAGACAGTGGTGGATGTGTCGCTTAATTTCGTGGATTAGTTGAAGTTAGACATTAACACCGTTGGATGCCGGCTCAGTGGTCTAGTGGCTAAATGCCCGCGCGCGAAACCGGTACGTTCTGGGATTCGAATCCCTCGGGGTGCAGGATCGTGGATGCGCACTTCTGAGGAGTCCCACACTAGGACGAAATGGCCGTCCAGTGCTTCCAGGTTTTCCATGGTGGTCTAGCTTCAAATGACTCATGATTTCAACAAGTGAAATTTCTAAAAATCTTGACAAAACCCATTGTGATTTGATTTTTACTTTTATTTAACAACTGTAAATAATTAAAAAGAAAGCTTAAAATAAATGGATTTCATATTATTCTACCTTATTTGTTGTATCTGGCTTTATTTAAAATCATTATCTAATTAGTATATACATAGATATGCACAATATTTGTGTAACACCGTTTGATATATATTATATAATTTATTGGTGTGGATTACTTATATCCATATAAGTACTATATAACGATGGTCAGGCATAGAATGTATTTCAGTAGAAGATCAATAAGGAAAAAACGAAAACGGAACGCAATTGGTATGAAAATGCATGAATAATGAAATCTGAGACAATCGACTGATATTTACAAAAAGAACAGTGAAATTTGAGACGATGGATTAATATTTTGCAAATTAACTATTTACTACATGGTTCTCAGATTTTATTGAGATGCTCTGAAATGTCGTGTCAAATACGTTCGATTGTTCCCACATGTGTTCTTGTCCACTACAATTCTACATTACCATAATATTGTTATTATTCATTCTAATAAATTTTTTCCTCTTTTCACAGGAAATTGATGGAATAAAAGTTTGTCAAGAACAAATTAAAAATATTATAAATCGTGCTACAGCACAATTAAGGTAAGCTATTCATTCAATTATTGATAATTCATTATTATTTTATTTGTATTCAATAGTGACTACTTACAAGTAGATCGGATTTTTTCATTAATCAAAGAGACGTTATCCTTTATTATAAAGAATAATTTAACATTCAAATCGATTAAAGTATTGAAATGTTTTACTAAATTACCATGTTGAAATTGCTTTCATCTATTTCAAGGTATTTTTTTCATGAGCTGACGTTAACATTTTTTTTGTGTACTGGACTATTCAATTTATGTATAACCATAGTTTCACACTAAGTTAAATCATCCAACAGTAGATTTATCAGTCAAGATGAATCTGTTCAGCCAATAAATCGATATTCTGTCTTTTAGATTAATATCATGAATGGATCTATGTTAGATCACCATTGAAAACCTGGAAGCACTGGATGGCTGTCTCATCTTAGTATAGGACATCTTAGCAGTTTGTACCCACGATCCCACATGCGGGACTCGAACACATGACTTTAAAAAACTTCACCCCTAGACCACTGAGTCGTCATCCAACGATGTTGTCTAACTTCAACCAATTCATGATATTGTGCGACCATCAGCCATTGCCTTCAGTGAGTAACTGTCTCACAATAGATACGGTCAATTCGCTAAATAATATGACCAATAATGCAGTTTATTCACTAATATTAACTAGTTTCCAAATGGATTTAACGAAAGTTGTTAACTTAAAATGTTGTTGAAATGTACATTATTCTTACATAGATTCGTTCATAAAGACCATTTTCTTTTAAACGCCAGGCTCATCATAATCTAATGATAATTTGTGTCTATTGTTATAGACATTTGATTTTACTTCATGGTTATAAATTGTACGGGTTACTTAATATACTTTTCAATAGTGTAGAACTATTTTCCGTTACGACAAAATTACCGACTTTTTTCAAAGTCAAATTATATCTGTTCTCATTATCTATAATGAGTTGAAGGCCTGATCACATGTCTTTCCGGTCGCATAAAACCAACTACATACCTTTTGGGAGCAAATAGGTTTCGAAGCTGAGAGAATATATATCCACCTCAGTCAGTGGAAGATTGTCGGACAATATTGTGAATCGATCTATGTTAAGCACATACATCGGAGGTACAGAGCGCTCTACGAGACCAAGGGCCCTGGATTCGATACGCGTCGTGGACATGAATACACACTGCTAATAAAGTCCTATACTGAGGCAAAGTAACTGACCAGCGCTTCCTAGATTTCAGTGATGTTGGAAGTAAGATCATTTTGTCGTGCAAAATATGAGATTACATTCTGTTGATCAACAAAGAAAGTCATTAGCATGGGGTTAAGTCTGCTTTACTACTTTTGAGATAAAACAAACAGTTTCGACTTCATATTTACACAATTGTAGGTTTTCAAAAAGAAAGTTAATTATTTTATTATAAAACAAAAGCCTCCGAAACTTGGTTGTTGTTGTACTAGTAACGAGAAACAACATATTTCATATAAATTTAATGTTTGTTGTATGAGTACTTACTGGGCAACAATGTATATTCTGAAAAGATGAACGTTTTTGAGAATATTAATGATAATTTCAGGATATTAAGCATGTTATTAATCTCCCCAGTCATTTTTTCTCCTTTCTATAATAATCTCTTATAATCAGTCGGTCATTCAGTCAGTCAGTCAGTGATAAACAACTCAGAACCTAACATGCATGTACATCGGTTCAAGTTGGTACAAAATGTCAACGTGTCGAGAATAAATTATCGAGAATGATATCGAATAATTGAAATTATCAGCAATATCTGGGGTAATAAAAAAGATTTAGTATAAAAAGTATGAATCTAGAAGAAGGAATATAGTCGTCAAATAAAAAAAGTATCAGATAGTTTTTAAACTCAATATCTAAGGAAATATAAACAGTAAAGTCATTTATGCCACTGTGGCTGATTTTGAATTGTGACCTTCAATATCTTCAATAATAAGTTACGATAATCTTGAGAGTCTCGATCAGGTTATCTGAACTTTTCTAAATAATTTAGTCTAACAGCAAGTGACTTTATTTACTGGCCAATACCAAGTTTTCGTCTGGTCACCTCTTATTTCTTTTTAACCTATTCTGGCATATTATAGGTGTTCTCACAAAAACGTTTATTTACTACAAAAGACTGATGATCCTTTTTATTTCATTAATACATGTATACCTCATAAAACATCCTGTTAAAAGACAAAAATACAGTATTCCACCATTTTAATTTATAATATAATTAATATTTTACGATGGAGAACAAAAAGAAACTACTTATCGATTATGGTTGCTATTGGTGATATCATTTGATCTACTGAAGTTCTTGCCTTCTTTTCTCCAATTTTATTGTTGTGAAATAATATGAACGCGTTTCTCTTCTACTCTCTTTCTTTCTCTAAAACAAACAAGCAGTTTACATTCATTTTATCATATTAGTAATAAATTATCTCCAATATATGCATATGCATGTATGGTTATGATACACTAAACTGTAATGGGGTACCAATAAATAAGCTATACAGACGTAGATGTCATTATGATAGATAAACTTGAGAGAAATTACAAAAGAAAAGAATAAAAGGTAATAAACTACTCAGTTTAATTTATACACACAATTAAGATAAATTTTATTCAATCAGAAGAGATATATACTAATTATGAATGCCGGTCAGTCAATCGTAATCAATTTAGAGCCTGGAACAAATGTGCTTTAGCCTAAGTTCTCATACCAGATTAGGACGACGAGTTGAAGTTAGTCAGATGAATTTCGAAGGTGTCTAAATAACTGTAGCAGGAATGATAACGAGACAGACTAAACATTGAATATATGGCTTGAAAGGGTTAAATGTAAAGTTTTGTCTGGAGGAATACTGGAACTCAAGATCCAGAGGAAGATAAAGAGAGTGTTTGTCCACCACTGCAACGATTTATGGGCCATGTCACTCAGCATCCTCAGCTAGGTAATCTACATCTACCCACGTAGTTCAGAACAGCAGTCAGTAACCTCGTGACTTAATGCCACATTTCAGTTTGACCGCCCTTAACTTTCTTTCAACTTACTCTTACACCAACTAACATCGGTCATTGAGGTAGGTGGTGGTTGGACATTTCTCAACCATCTCAGTTACTGGTAGTTTCTAATCGCGTTAACCGATTTATTCTCTTTATCTAATACAGTGCGTCTAATCTCAGATTTGCTTAAACTGTCTTTCGATAATACGTGAGCAATGCTTTCAAAATACCTGTGATCGAAATCGCGCTGCCCACACATATATTCTTTCAAGCCCTCATTTTACAGACAGAATACTGTAGAGCTGATAGTTACACAGTATACTACCCTTTGTTTGGAAGGGGACTATCTTTTGTACGCCACATGTGATATAAGTTAGCAGTAGCAACTAGTATTTCTGAATTCGTGCCAAAATTTCGTCATTCATCAACCCATCAAGGCTGAAGAAATTTCAAAGATAATTATGGTGATTGACAAACTCAATTGAGTAAATCCATATCACTAAAACTGGCACCGATACAGGTCAGTCCTTAAACAACATTTTGTATTTATTTAAGAATTGATCTACATCATCACCTAGACTCATCATATTGAGTGAAATAATTGATTATGTCAATCAATTCCAATGTTTAATATATTTTATAAGTAAGATTGGGGGAGATTTCAGGGAATTAATAGGGTCCTGGGTTAAAAAGAAAAAAAAGAACTATTAATCTATTATGTTAATTTCTACAGTCATAAATTGTCCAAAATTCATTATCATTAATCTATTTACATCTATCAAAAATACACAAAATTATTATGCTTAGATTGTTTCTGTTCAATAGTAACTAGATATTCATATCTAGATACAAGAAGAGTAATTTTCAAATAAATCATATTAATCTTTTTGTTGTTGTTGTTGTTGTGGTGGTGGTGGTTGCAAACTTATTAAAATTCAAATGAATTCGAAGTTATATTAGAAAAAAGTTTTTTTTCTCACAAAATCAATTAGTTTTATATTTTATTTCATATTATGTCTTATTAAAAACGAAACAAAAACAAAAAATAATAAAATCATTAAATTCTCTTAGAGCTTCTTTGATCTTCCTGTTGCCGTAGAAACCCATTTGTTTTTTTGTTTTTTTTTGCCGTCTCATGAGATCCTCACGTTTACTGTCATATATTTCAATAGTTCGATTCACTGTTGAAGATTAAATTTTATGATTAGTAAAGAATACCTCATGTTTATTACTAGATATATGTTATTTTTTGGTTATAATATGTATGTAACATTTTATTTTGGGGGGTGGATGGGAGGTTATTAAGTTTATTTATGTTGCTTAGAGACAATTATAGCATTAGAAGTTGACAATAAAGAAGAGTAAAGAATTACAAATTTCCTGTTGAAATATTAAGTGTTTTCTTCTTCATTATTGTTAGCTATTCCAAATTCATTCATTCAAGTGATGATATATTGAAATAAGTCTATTTTGATTCTTTTCTACATGAAGAAAAACAAATAGGTATTTTTCAATGAATAGAAATGATGTAATTCGTGTGAATATGAAATGCATGTTTTATGGTACTTATAATATTTCTAAATTAAAAATAGATTTTTACCTCACGCTGATGACTTTAAACCGAATTGCTGGGTACTGTGCAAGTAGATCAAGAGAAAGTTATAATGGACGACAAACTAAGGACATAAGATAAGTTCATAAAGTTACTTATTGTTAAACTAGCTCGTATATGCAGGTCGAGATCTATGCAACAGTTCAAGATATGATGCTTGATGTTGACAGATGTGGTCTGAAATGCATCGGAGTAATCCAGTTACATTCATTCCTTATCTTTCTTTAAATATTGGAATAATTTTTATTCCATATTTCGTATTCTTTACTTTACGTCTGTCTGATTTGGATTAGTGTTTTGAAAGAGCCTGTATTATTTATGTAGCGCACAAAATTATCGAATTATGGAATTATTGTCTCACAATAATTATAATATATCAGTTTTACCATGCTGATAATCAAAAGTCAGAGAAAACTATGTGATCCCCATAAAAGTTACAAACAAACAGACGTTTCATTGTGTAACTGGGGATAGCAAATTGATTGATTAGATTCAATACTTCATCTAGCACATAATTTGATACTGATGTTTTCATGATTATAGAAACCTACAATGAATGATAACTATATACGACATTTATTCTAATTGTCATATATCAATTAAATAAAATTGTACTGTCTATTTTAACCAGGCTAAGAAGTTTATAATGAATAATATTTAGCATATAAACGTTAAATTCACTTGATAAAAAATGTCATTGAACCATTGGTTAGATTAAAAAGATTGTGTCTTATTTATGGCTAACTGAAATCCTTTGATATAAACGCTTTTGACTTAATTCATTTTGTATTCGTAGCTTGCATCTTCCCATTAATGTTTAGGATAATAGTTAATCAGTCTCTTATTGTTATATGTGCATCTTGTGAAAATTGTCTCGATACTGATCACCTGAAGTCTTAAACATCAGTGGGAAGATTCAAATAACCAATACAAACATGAATTAAACTTTATACTTAGCACAAGCTAACGGTTATCTAGACTCAGTATCTAAGTGGATAACGCGATATGATATTGGGTTTTAGTCTTAGATTGAACATCAACTCTGGTTATCAGGTACATCCAGCTGATGAGTCACAAATAGGACAACATGCGCTTCCTGGATTCCACCTCTAGCCACCATACATCTCTACTTTTGATCAAATTTAAAATGAACAGTGTTTTATAATATCTATTAGCAATTTTTAGCAAGGTTCGTTTTTACGAGATAAGGTTGTTAATCCTATGTCTAACCATCCTACATTATCTAGGATTGAGACAGGTATTAATCCCAGAAGGTGACAAGATAGAGGTACAATATTTTTTACATGAATTTCTAACTAAAGGCGTTATTTTGGTATTGATAAAGGAAGAACGCACAGATTGATACAAATTTATTGGAATTTAATACTATGAAAATTTTAGATTATATTAAACTAATAATAAATTAATTATGATTGAAATTGTTTCCACCAATGTATGTTCCATGGTGTTGTTCTGATACTTCAGTCGTTTTAGCATTTAAGGAATTCCTTAACAAGGGTTGCTGTTTTAAAAACTACCGAATAACTCAATGGTTGACGGACACAAATAAAACATTTAGTTTACATTACAGACTGACCTTATTCTGACTAGTATTGAAGATCAGGAACCAATAAACAGCTGCTTTATCCTAGTATGGAACTCTTCAACAACATACATCCACAACCTCATCATAGATCATTTGGTGAGCATTTAATCTTAAGAGTACTAAGTTGGGATTCATTTGGTTTACATCTTAAATTACAATCAACTAACAATATTGTACCACCATCTTTCAGTGGTTGCGGTGTTTAAATGCCTCACACTCAACATGGTTAAATTACATTTATTACGATTTCTCAATAGAATTCCAAAAATTACCACTGGAAATCAGACATTAGTTAGTTGTTCAGTACTTCATAATTTTTCAAATGTTTGTCCAACTTCTCTCAACCCATAATGTAAAGTATCAAATTTAACAATCTTTACAACGCTCTCCTATAGTAATAGCAACTGAATAAATTGTTTTTATATACTTTCATTAAGATTAAACAATATTCTACTCTAAATTATATGGGAACATGTATTTATATATTCAGGATGAAACTTATTACTATTCCTTTATTTACACTGTAAGAAATATCTAGTCATTTTGTGTCTCAGTAAATAAAATCTACAAAACTAATATTGTTCTTCAATACTAAAAGTTTATTCCAGTGACGGAATAACAGAAGGAACTGTCACTAAAAAATAATGTACTTTTGACTATTTCTAACATTCTTGTTTATTTACCATCACATTAATAGATTATGACTCATATTTTTGTGTGATATATATATATAAAGAGAATTTACTGAACCAAAACTATCTGAAGAAGGGGTTTTTTGGAGATTGTAGTAATTTCAACAGTTGAGATCATGAGTCAATTGAAGCTAGACCACCATGAAAAACCTGGAAGCACTGAACGGCTGTTTCGTCATATTGTGGGACTCCTCATCAGTGCGCATCCATGACCCCACCTTGCGAGATTCGAAGAGTTATTTTCGACCAGATAACACTCGATATTCGTTTTGATCAAGTCTTAGATTCATTTTCATATTGGATTTGAACTGTCATGTGACCAGGGAGTCTCTGGGTAGTTAGAATGAAGATGAAACGCTTTTACAATAGTTACGTATAGACAATGGCTCCTCAGCTGTTAATAATTTAAATCGAAGGTTGCCGAGAATATCTTTGCACACAGGTCCCTGTGAAAAATACACAAAATGATAATAAAGAATTTATCGTTATAATCGTATGCACAACTAGTAGGTCCTGGGTTCGAATCCCGCGAGGTGCGGGGTCGTGGATGCTCACTGCTGAGGAGCCCATACTAGGACGAAACGGCCGTCCAGTGCTTCCAGGTTTTCCATGGTGGTCTAGCTTCAATTGACTCATTATTTCAACTTATGACAATTAAAATAGTTGGAACAGTCAAACACATCCCACTTTAATTGTACTTTTTATGTTACTTGTAGTTTGTGAGTAGTCAAAAAGTGAAGCAAAATATTGACTATTAATTTGACATATCCAACACCAATAAATGACACTTTATTTTCGGTCACATAAATGTCGTGTGCCACAGTATTGTCCACCTCCACCCAGAAATTATACAGAATTCACAGTCACCCTTCAGATTTGATGATGATTTGTTGATCAGAACTCTCCTTGGTATGCAAAAAACCAGTTTTGATTAAACACAAGTTTCGTTTTTGGATGAGTGGGGACTGCTGGAGTAAAATGCAGCATACTATTTAAAGTGAAAAATGGATTGATAAAACTGTAAAACTTTATTGTCTTAGGTGTTTGCAACACTTATTACATATAAACAGCCACTGTCTAGCTCTGTATGTGATGATGGCCGGTATGGGAGTAAGTTGAAAGATATGAGCAACCAAACCACTGTGTATCAATCTATGTAGTCACTGACAGTTGATTTCAGTCATGTAAATGGCATCAAATTATCTTGTTGGGGTCTGCATGAATAACGTAACCAATTATTGAAAACGATGAATGACATGACTCTGAATTGATTGCACTGGACCAGATGTATTTGCTCATTTTCTTCCTCCAAACTCTGAGTTTCAAAATCAACTTGCACTATCTAATTCCATGGATTCATTCTATCTCCTCATATCATATTTTCCACCCCCAATCATTTCTATCACAAGTGACATTGTTAATAAATCTACTCCATACTGTTTTTCTTGATAATTTCATCTTGTTGTATTGATGTGATGTGACAACCTGAACTGATGTAAATATGTGTCAGGCTCTGTGTTGTTTCTGACTAACTAACCCACTGACTATGGCAGATTGTTATCCAAGAGAGGAAACATCAAGTCTGAGGATACAAATAACAACGTATTAATAACATTTTATTGTAATTTCACATACTTATCTTTCAATCATTTTCTCAATGTAACTAGTTAATATCTTCTTCCAGTTTATGTCGTAGTGTTCAACATGAATTAGAACAAGATAGTTCAGATAAATTTAGGGCATTACAATTGGATCAATTAGCTCATCAATTACGTAATTCATCGGCTAATATTGCATTATATGGTGATATTGAGAAATTAGAAAAATGGTAAGTGAAAAAGATATTAAAAAATAAATTATTATTACCCTATGTTTCATAGAATAAACTTTTCAAAGAAAAAATTTCTATACAATTTTATTGTGTGATAAGCTTTAAATCCGTCAGATAACCATAATGAATCTGTTAACTATGTGTATCTACCCAGCCAACGGAAACTACTAAGTAAATGACAACTAATTCAACTGTGATAGATTACAATCTGAGTCGGAAAATCTCACCATTCCTTTTTTTCTCTTTTCTATACTTAAGTCTTTCTACCATAAATATTACTATAGATACTACCTTGATAATTTTATCTCACTGTGCTAATGTGGTTTGACAACTTGAACCAATCAACGTGTGTCAAGTTCTACGTTGCAAATGACTAACTAATTGAATGAATATGCCATTGTTCGGTAAGCTAGAAGAAAATTATCCGGAATCGCACTTATCGTCCCCTTTCCCCTTTGTCTATGAGAGTGTCTGTTTTAATGTATCAACTACTCTTCCTGATTAATCGATTAACTGAGGATGGCATGGAGGCAAATGAATATGCTTCACGGTTAATTTAGAGATGAATCCTAAGGATATGGATGAAATGGACCATATTCCATATCAGTTTAATTTCCATGTTGTATTTGTTCAAGATTGGTATCATTTAATGGACCATTGAAGACCAAAGAGTACTGGATAACTCTTTTGTTCTAGTATGGAGTTCCTAAATAGAACACATCGACAATTCTACTGTACCTGTTTTTTCTAATGGTTATGCGTTTGCCATGAGACATGAAGACACTGGGGTCAACTTTTATGGAAGTTATATGTCCCCACTATTGAGTCCAGTTGTAGGACAAATTGCCCATCCACTGTTATCTTGTCTTCAATGGTACCCAAAATGTGACCGATAAAACTTAAATCTTGAGTTAATTTTCAAATGTTTCTAGATAAATACATTACGTATGATCTTTTGTTTTAAGTTATTTCGTTGTCAATACAGTTAAGCAATTTGTAGTGTATTGTGAATTGTAAGCAGTTTATAGTAAACTGTAATGTACTAACAATTATATTAGACTTATTTTCACATTTAAGTACATATATATGTGACCTCCATCCTCATATATTTGAATATTTAGGATGAGTGTACCGGAAAAATGGGCTGAACACACAAGCGCTAATTTAAAACGTTCTCAAGCTGAACGTGCAGCAAGTCGATCTATTCGTGAAGCAATTGAACATTGTTTAGGAGCAACATTCAGTAGAATACGTGATTTATGGTCTTCAACTAATGCATGTTTATCTCAACGTATACAAGAAACAATGGAAGCTAAGAATAGAATACAAGTTCAATTGGAGAAAGTATGTTAATTATCATCTTTTGTCGTTTCTATACTATTGCAAATACTAAAATTAGAAAAAAAAACACTATTAAATTATAAAATATTCATAATTTCTAAGGTATTTAACTAATTAAATTACTATACTATCGTCATGACTATCGTCTAAATTCATTAACACTGTTTCTGCTAACAAAGTTTTTAAGTAGTTAAGATTATGCTTTAAAATTTTACTTATCTTATAAATTGCTGGTTAAATACCTCCATTAATATTACGATTTATATACTGTTGAGGTTTAAAACAGAGACTGTTGAAAACAACTGAAGTACAAAGGCTGGTCTACGTGACTAGGTATATTGAACGATATATATATATATATATATATATATATATATATATATATATATATATATATATATATATATATATATAACAATCTATTATTGACGATCAACCACACATGAAAAAAAGTGAAGAGATGGACTTTCAGGAGAGCTTTTATATTTCAAGAAAGAACAATGAGATTAGTATATGTGTCAATATTATAAGACGAGGAAGCCAATCAGAACAATTGAAGACTAATGATATTGTCATGTTATGAATGTTATGATGATATAGAAGTGTGATAAGGCTCAATCAATATAAACACGTCATAATAAGACTGGTTCGGGTTGACTGTAACAACTAGTTCTATATCTTAACATTAAAAAGAAGTGATATTACCAATTTTACCATCTTTCATCTTTAAGGAGAGCATGCCTCAGCACACACTGACCACTAAGCTGATGAGTATACAAATGACAACCATTCTTCAGACCCATATATATTTTAGAAGGTTGTACGTTTATTTCTCAGTATCACAATAAAAATTTTCATTACTAACTGAAATCACATGAAAACTGACGAATACTTTACATCTGTTTCCACCTACTTTTAAATTTTCAATATGCCGTTCTCACGAGTTCCACTAAATAGCAGTGAACACCATACGTTTAGATGAATTTTTAAGGACCCAATGATATACATTTTCATCGTCATCATCATCAGTAATAACTGTTTATTGCTCCCTGGTTTTTGACGATATGTTAACTGATATCGATCCTTCGTGAAAGTCGATTCCAAATTAAATCAGTCCTTTTGAAAAGAGCAAGAACAAAGATTCTAGCAGAATAGTATGAATTCATTTTATTTCGTAGGTTCTCGTCAGCTGCTTACAACCTGTGATATTTAAAAATCATAATTGCATAATGGATTTAAATTGCTTACGGAATATTGTAAATATATACCTAATGTGAAAGAATATTCTACAACATTAATTGTGACAACAGTTCAAAAATGGGTTAGAAACAATTGATTACATAATGAATAAACATTGATAGGAATATAGTGATTAGAGTTCAGTTGAAAGATTATTAATTTGAAAGATAGTTGAAAAAAAATAAATTAGAACCAATGATGTAATAAATGCAACAGAAAAAAGAAAAAAAATTTAAGGTTCAGTGAAGGAATATTTGTCACCAGGGTAAGGAAAGATTAACCACCGTCTCCTTTTGAATACATAGGTCAGGTTTTTGTCTCCTGATGGCAATGGCTTCAGCAAACTTCAGAAGACTGGAGTTTGGCTACTTACTAATCACCCTAAAGGATTGTAAGGTATCTACCTGATGTCCTGTATCAAGGAGATGTTTGGTGATTGCACTGTCCAGAGTCTTTCTTTCCCTTGTTCTAAGACTTTTTGGAACATGTTCAAAGAATCTAAGATATGCTCTCCTTTCAGTTCGGCCGATGTATCTGCTTTGGCAGGTACACGTAAATTTATAAATACAGTTGGCGGTAACATGCTATTCTGCTAGAATCTTTGTTCTTGCTCTTTTCTAAATCAGTCCTCAAAAAAACTATAAACCAAATATCATTGTTGATTTGAACCTTTACAGACACACAAACACTACTAGTTAAGTTAGCTTTAAATATTGAATATATATGTATATTATTGAATACAAGCACTACATAATATTACGATTGGCATCAGATAGAGTATATTGATATAGTTTCTTTCACAGAACAATTGAATGACTCATTCTATAAAGTGACTAGTTCTCATTAACAAGAAGACAGTTGACATTGAATCGATCTTGTTGGTTCATGAAAATTGTCAAATCTGTAAATAAATCTTATTCTAGAGTATTAGTGGTTTTTATTCTAAGCATACAGTATTTCTCAATAGTTTTCTTTTAAAAAATGGTATTCTAAGCTGAATTTCTTTTTAATACTTAATATGAACTTGGTAATTTATTTATATGTATGAATACGTCGACTCAAATATGTTGTGAAGAAATGATGACATTACTCGATCACTAGTTCTTAGCGTTGATCATATTTTAACTGATCAATTTACTTTGTGATCATTGTTCTAAGTGATTCGTCATCGTTTGCACTATGTTAGGATGCTAGATGATGTAGGTTCGAATCCAACTGATAGCATTAGTTCTTTCAAGATTGTAGGTAAGCGCTGTGTCAAAAATCATCTAAACAATATTTTTTTAAAATCATTTTTGAATAAACACAGATTTGAGTCTCGTAAAGAACTTATGGTACATCAAAGTGTTTTGGAGTTTTTATTGATTTCTCTAAGCTAGATGGTTTAGTTGCGAAGCTTTTATTACCGTTTTAGACAATATCATCAGCTCTTACTTTATGTAGAAATGAGCTTCATAGTTATTTCATTTATAACTATCAGTTTATTCTGATTGTCTTGTTTACTGTCGTCATAGATTTCATTGCTTTCATTTTTCTCTTGTATTGAAGTTGACTGTGTTTGTTCTGTCGAGTTCTGACCATATTGTTGACTGACCGTTCTCGAATAAGTTGATAGATTGAGTTTATTTTGATATATCTTTTGATTGTTAGTTGGTTTGAATGTTATGCTTTTAGAGACTCCCTGTTTTCCTAATCGGCTTTTTGGCCATGTTTGTCTATTTGCATCAATATCAATGATAATTTATCATGTTATTATACTAGTAGTCAATACTCGTGTATGCGTACGTGCAAAGGTCGTCCACTTTCTCTAAGGTCGTTTTATCATAATCAGTTAAGTTGTTTCATTGTTTGTTTGTTTTTTACATTAATCTATCTATAATTTTCATGAATCGATGAACGCATTATTAACTATGTTAATGGTTGATATCAATCAGTAATTCTTTATACTCATCTCAAAACAATTAGTTGTAATTATTTTGCACTTGTATATAATTACCGATTAACTGTTGAAATATTCAATGTCTCAAGTTTAAACTCATCCAATTACAATGGTTAAGTTCATGGGTCAGTTGAAGCGAGACCACCATGGAAAACCTGGAAGCACTAGACGGCCGTTCCGTCCTATTGTGGGACTCCTCAGCAGTGCGCATCCACGACTTCGCCCCCTGCGAGGTTCGAACCCAGGACCTACTGGTTTCCTAATACATTTTCTCTTGTTCAGATCATTGAATTTTGTATTTTATACTGTTTCTGTTCATCACTTCTCTTTCTCTCTCTCTCTCTATCTTGTTTTCTTTAAACATTATTTTAGATTAATCAAGAATTATTTGATGTTGAAAAGAATATGGAATATTTAAAAAGATGTATAGCTGATAAACAAGCACCATTGAAAGTGGCTAGAACAAGATTAGATTTACGTAATCGACGTCCAAATATTGAATTATGTCATGATGATCCGCATGAAAGGTAATCCTGTTTTATAAAGAGTCAATTTTGTAAATTAGTAACAGTTTACCAAACATGTAATTGAAGAGAACACATTTGTTTGTTCGATGAGAACAAGTAAACTAGTAGATATACATTCAAATGGTCCGATACCGTTGTTTGTCTTTATTGCATTCTTGGATTATTAAGATTGAGTTCAGATGGAATATGATTGTAAAGACTAAAAAATTACCTTTACACTACATTAAGAGAAAAATTCTGTCCATTTGTATTACAGCTTGTATAATCCAGTAGATATCTGATACAAAGATTTATTAAGAATAAAGTACTGCTTCAGGCCACTTTATTGTGGATTTACTAGTCTACTTGTTCTTTTCAAGTATGTTGTAGTGATTACATGAATCGTACAATTTCTAAAAGTATGTCCGTAAACCGATTTGTATAGTTATCCAAAAGTTGATTCAAATCAATCAATCAATCAACATGTAAGTTCAATTACTCTGATTTATTATATATAAAGAACTAAACCTAAGTTCCATGTTAATTTACATTTGTTGACAAGGCATATCGTCAATATTGAAGAAGCTTATGCTATCCATGTAAGTAAATAGTAGTAAGTAGTTTAAAAGTCTATAACCGTTAGGATGAACTATTTAGACAGGTACAGATTACCAGATTAGGTTTCTCACAATTATCATAACCAACTGATTAAAACAATCAGTGACATAACTCAGAATCGATGATCATAGCTCAGTTACAATCACTCATTATTTATATTAGGTGTTGAATTTTAAAATTATTTTATACTTTTTATTCCATGAATTCATTATTTCTTCTGGAATCATATCACTTATGCTTCATCTTTTCAACTGTCGCTGTTATGATTACTACATCTAATATTCTGATATTTGTCACTGATAATTTACCTCTCTTTTTCGATGATTTGTTATGGCAACTCGAACAAATACACATACTTACCAAGTTTTGCAAGGATTATAATTTTTGTGATTGAGATCGTGGACCGATTGATGTTATACCACCACTGAAAACCTGGAAGCACTGGACGGCCGTTTAGTCCTATTGTTGGACTCCTCAACAATGCACATCCACGATTCCTCTCGCTGGATTCGTGCTCACTAGTGACTAGCTTCTTCAAAGGATTCTCGGAGTTCTAGTAAGAAGCCGAGATCAGTAAAGCTAATCCATGTCGGGCAGAGAGAGGTATCTACCTCAGTACAATGAGAGATGGTCGAGCGATTTCGTGTATTTGTTGAAGTTAGACATTAACACCTTTGGATGCCGATCAGCTCAGTGGTCTAGAGGTTAAGTGTTCGCGCGCGAGATCACAGGCCCTATACTTGAATCCCACGGGGTTGGATCGCGAATGCTCACTGCTGAAGAGTCCAACAATAGAATGAAACGGTCTTTCATTTCTTCCAGGTTTTTAATGGTGGTCTAACATCAATCAGTTCACGATCTCAATCAAATACTTACTAATCTCCACAACCTCATACTGATAAGGATTATAACTGATTGATTTCATATGTTATTTATAATTTACATTTATGAAAACTATAAAATCTGTTTTATTATTAAGCTGAATATACATGATTCATTCAATTGACTTATTCAACGTATACTAATCATTCGTTCTAGTTTGAACTCGTTTTCTTATAATAATAAAATAGTCAGGATATAGTTCTCTAAGTTATTGTTTTCTCTGTTCTGATATTAGAATCGAATAAACTTTGACAACTAATACTAAATCAAATGTTAATTGTTATGAATATAATAATAATAATAATGCTAGTTTGAACATGATTTTCATGGAATTACTTTCCTATTCATCTTAGCAAGCATGTAGAACAGGTTTGTTATGAAGTTCTTTCTTTTTTATAAGAATAATAAATAATAGTCTATGTCGTTTAGAAAACCAAAACTTATGTGAGATTAAAGGTTTGGCTTTTAGTGTTCATTAAATGTACAGTATTCACAATCTAGGTGTTATACCCCGATCTGAATAATGAATGGTAATTTTTGGGATCCATTTATGGAACAATACTATGAGTATATTTTTATCGTTTAATTGTTATGTAAATAAACTGTTCATATTCATGTCTCTGTTATTATGAGTTTTATTTTGACCTATGAACTATTTATTATACGATTTACTATTCTTGAATTATTCCCTGTCTGTTAATCACTACCTCCCTCATTCACAGTCACTTTTGGCCAAATATTGTACAAATGTTATTTTCTATTTTATAGTGTGATGTGGTCTGTTTGATTTGTATATAAACCCAGTATGTTTGAAATACATGATTCATATCACGGAGGCTGAGACTTGCGTTCTGGACTCAACTAGCTGGGCTAAGCAGAAAGCAGAACCAATCAGGACTCTAGGCTGCCCACACGTGTTTTGTGCGTCACTGGTTCGGTCGATAATTCACTGCTCCCTAATTGGCGGTATCATAACTTATCCATTAACATGGCACTCAGGCCACAAGTATAGCACTATGTGCACTTTACTATTCAGTAAGTGAATGAGTACTGGATATGAGAGTGTAATTTTCACTGAAAATTTCATTTTAAGATTTAACCTTCATTATTCTAGTATTTGTCATCCACCAAGTTGATACGCTCTACACTGGTTCGTTCATAGCAGACCGATGTAGATAACTATGAATAATTGATCTGAAGTGAACATAACAATCCTGTGTAACACTTATCTAATAAATGAATAAAAATAGGTTACGGGTATTGTATACTTATTGAATAATGAAAACAGTATAGATAAGCATACATAATCAAGAACAGTGACTAAATCAAATGTTAGGAAATCTATCTAGAATGATTATTCTTAATAACGATTAGTCAGTTATTTTGGTAATAATAATATTGAAGTTCGTTATATTTATTTGATGGTTATCAGTAAAATTCAATATATCCATTTCGTTTCATTTGAAACTCATTAGTCAGCTGTTGAGCGGCCCATGTTCCTCCATGAGGGGTAATAGGCCTAAGTAAGTTAGTCGGACTCACCTGCATCTTTTAGTGTCGACTTTCGTATTGAAACTCAAACCCTGTACCTTTCTCTTCCGATCCAGATATATTGTCCACTATGCTACTGAGTTTATTTAGCCACTAGCCTGTTCAACGGATATAAATTTATTAGTAATGGATTGTAGTTTTCGCTTACTGAAATATAGGACTGTAATTAATCAATCGCTATTGTTATGCTTACTGTCTAATCTGACTGCTCCTGTTTATAATTTTTATCAAAAGTTTTAGTATGTGCATAAAATTTGTGTCTTAGATTTTATTGTCATTTCACAATCTAAATGTGTGTTATGACTTGTGGTCGTGTGCCCTATTAATATACAACGTAATGACACCGCCAATTAAAGAACAGGGGCTTATCGACCGGATCAATGGCGAGTTAATCCATACGAGCTGTCTAGAGTCCTTATTGGTCCTTCTTCCTGCCTAGCCCTGCCTGTTGAGTCCAGAACACCAATCTCAGCCACCATTATATGAATCATGTGTTTCAAACATACTGGGTTTATATACAAATCAAACAGACCACATCACACTATAAAATAGAAAATAACATTTGTACAAGATCTTGCTAAATGTGGCTGTGAATGTGGGAGACTGTAATTAATAGACTGGGTATAACGCAAGAACCGTAGATTGTATCATAATAATCTATTGGTCAAAATAAAGTTTATAATAAGAGAAACATGAACAAATAGTTAGTGGATCGATCTACATCAGTTAGTTTTGTAATGCCAATATCGTTATTGAATATTTGACCGTACAAATACATATATTTAAAAATAACATTATCCAACATGGAATACCTTCTTATTTAATAACATATTGTCTTGCCGAGAGTTGTTGCTACCTTGACGCGTTGGTCGGGCTTGCCTATCGTGATGAAGCAACCGAGCTATACTGGCTGAAACAACCGTTCCCCAAGGTCCTACCATGTCAGACAGGTCAGTTGAAGAGCGGTGAGACTAAAAGTAACAAACCCAAGGTCCGAAGGCGAAGTCTTACTGTCGACTGTACAAGGGTGTGACAGCAGTAAGGTGTTTCCTTCAGACAACCAGCATGACAGTCATGCTTTCTTCCCACAAGGAGGAGTGGGGTCAGAAAAGGTCGACCCTAGAAACGCACTCCTCGCCTTATCCCACGGATATCCGTCTCCGATGGTAAGGTCTCAACAAGTACGGAGCTAACACAAAAATTACCCATTAAAAGGTCGTGTGTGACCGACCTCAAGCAGTTGTCTCTTGGGCACTACGGTCACGCTCCCAGGTCACTAAGACCACCTCTAATCCAATTTCCTTTCCAGGTACCTCCAGAAGAACCCTTCCACGGTGTGGGCAACCGGGAAGTGATAACCGCCCTCATACCTCTAACAGCACTCAAGACCACTGTATTCATAATCAACCTCCTTCTTCAATTCCTATTATTCCTCCTACATCGACTTTCAACACTAAATTTCCTTTTTCGGCTTCCCCCCCCAAGTGTCACCATAGCCAACGGTTCTAGTGCTCAAAACACTCCCAGGTCTACTGAAACCTCGCTCTAAACTACACATTGGAGCCTTCAACGTACGCACCCTATGTCAAATCGGTCAACAGGCTTCCTTGGCTAGAACCCTAGAATCTCGTACCATTGATGTATGCTGTGTCTCTGAAACACGCATACAGGATCCCAGTGTGGTCATTCACTTGACCTCACCTCGACAAAACGGAGAGCCAACGAGATACACTCTCCGTGTATCTGGTGACCCGATGGCCAGTTCTCGTGGACTGGCAGGTGTATGCATAGCACTAAGCATGAGGGCGGAACAAGCACTGCTAGAGTGGATCCCCGTCAACAGTCGTTTATGTGCTGATCGGCTAAACGGCTCCGTAAGAACTCGGAAGGATAGGAACACATGTCGTTCCTTTTTTGCCGTTTCTGCCTACGCTCCCACTGACTGCAGCTCAGATGAAGTGAAAGATGAA